CTCTCTCTCTCTCTCTCTCTCTCTCTCTCTCTCTCTCTCTCTCTCTCTCAAAGAAGAAGAAGAAGAAGAAGAAGAAGAAGAAGAAGAAGAAGAAGGTAGGAGGGAGGAGAGATGGAGACGACGAAGAAGAAGAAGATGTCATCCTCCTCTCGGTCTCACCTGCAGGTATCCGCTGCCATATACTGACCGTCGTCGTCGTCGTCATGTGCAGGTCGCCAGCGAGGAGCCCTAGCTATAGCGCCAGGTAGGTCTGCCGCTGCAGGTATGGGCCCGTATGGCCTCCGTCCCTCTGCCTACCTACGCCTCTACTCTAACGCAGCGCTGTCGCGCTGGTCCAGCAGCGTGTCGCCCAAGAAATGAGCAACTCGAACTGTGTGTCTGCTCAGCCGTGGCCCAACTATATGTAGCGCTGGGCCGTCTGGGTGTGCCTCTGTGTTGGCCTGAAACGGCCCACACGGTCTGGGGCCCTACCGGGCGTCCAGACCGTCTGGCCTCAAACGGCCCTGCCCCCAGGTGTACCCAGCCCAAGGCGTGGCCTTGGGGACTGTGGCCTAAGGGCCGCCGTGGGCCTCAGGGCATGCGTCTGAAGGGCATGCGGCCTGATGGCCCCTCAGCAACCGTCGGGCCCCTGAAATGGGGCCCGTGTGCAGGCGCAGCATGTAACAATATGCTGGAGTGAAAAAAAAATTAAAAAAAATAATTGCTGGAGTGAAACACTGCACAAGTGTGAGTGAGAGACACAGCAAAGGCGTATTCAGGTGCAATAAAGGGCCTTGCCACACCACTCTCGAATTGTGAAAAAGACAAATTTAAACTCTGACAGGTGCATCTGGCCATGTTCGCAGCCAAAGGCTGTGTCTTACCCCGTCGCACTTTTTGTCATGTAGCGGGCTTTCTGTTTGAGGAAATGTCGACGACCTCTAACGGGGTTTAAGGGGCGTCGACAAGGTGCGCGATCGGGGGCAGGGCACAGACCGGTAGGCCAAATGGTAGGCGCAGAGGTTGGAGCGCGGGCGACCAATAGTGGATGGCATAGGTCGTTCTTGGTGGCGGAGGGCATTGTCTGTCCTTTCCTTTTTGAGGTTGGCAGGCCTTCGTTTTTGAGGTGGGCGGGTTTTTTTATGGAGGTTGTTTTGGGGCGGGCGGGGTTTTGTTTTGTATGAATGGCTTACCACTTTCTGTGGAAGATGCAGTCGTAGACGCAGTTGTCTTTTGCATTTTTTTTGTTTTTTTTTAGTAGTCGTGCTTTTTGGTTTCGACAGTCGATCTCAGGTGACCAACGGCAGGTTGCATAGATTGAACGGCCTGGCTTATTCCACGACAGGCATCAAATTCGTTTGGCGGCACATATTTTTTGTTTGGGTGTATCGTTTTGGCGGCAGGCCAGAAGGTTGAGATGTCCCCGTTGCGGCAGGCCAGAATGTCAATGGCCCCGTGACAGCTCGTGGACTTCGTCGCCTTTCGCCTTTGCCATCTCCTTCTCCTTCTCTTCTTCGCAGCCTTCGGGCGGCCTTGACACCACAGCCGGATTCTTCCTCTCTCTCTCTCTCTCTCTCTCTCTCTCTCTCTCTCTCTCTATATATATATATATATATATATATATATCGTCAAATAGAACTGCCCGGTAAGCCGTAGGCAGAGAGGGAGAAGAGGACAACAAACGAGGGGCTGTGACAAACTGTTTCGTCAGAATTTCA